GCGAGTCCAGCATATCAGTGCGAAAGCATTTGCAACAGACTACAGTCGGAAGTACCTAACCCCAGTGGATATCAGCATCACAGACACCAGTCCTCAACCAATTTGATTCATTCCACATGATGTCAAGAAATAGCTGGAATTTTTTAAAATACATTCATTCATAGGATGAGGGTGACTCATCCCATCAGGTGCTGGCAAGGCCAGCATTTATTGTCCATTCCAGAGGGCAGTTAAGAGTCAACCATATTATTGTGGGTCTTGAATCACATGTAATCCATACCAGATAAGGATGACAGTTTCCTTCACTAAAGGACATTAGCGAACCGGATAGATTTTTCTGATAATCAGCAATGATTTCATGATCGTTATTCGATTCATAATGCCAGATTTTTATTCATTCAGATTCCACTATCTGCCATGGCAGGATTCAAACTGGGGTCCCCACACATTACCTGGGCCTCTGAATTAACCAGTGATAATACCACTAGGCCGTTGCAATGGGCCCTGACATTCTGGCAATAGACACGTGCTCCAAACTTGCTACAACCCTAGCCAAGTACAGCTACAGTACATCTATATCTACCTGACAATATGGAAAATTTACCAGGTATGCCTTGTACATGTAAAGTAGGATCAAATCCAACCTGGCAATTACTGCCCTGAGTCAACTCTTGATCATTCTAAAGTGAGGGAAGGAATTAATCAACAGTGCCATCAAGAGCACTTGCTTAGCAATAACTTGCCTACTGACTCTCGGTTTGGGTTCCCACACTTAGCTCCTGACCTCATTATAGCCTGGACAAAAGAGCTGAATTCCAGAGGTGAGGTGAGAGTGACTGACCTTTACATTAAGGCCACATTAAGCAGAGTGTGACATCATGGATCCCTAGCAAAACTCGTTTTAATGGGAATCAAGGGAAGCTTCTCTGCTGGTTGAAGTCATATCTAGCACAAAGGTCAGTCATTTCATCTCCGGCATCTCTGTAAGCCTTCCTTGGGGTAATGTGACAGGCTCAACCATCATCAGCTGCTCCATCAATGATCTTCCCACCGTCGAATGATCAGAATTGTGAATGTTTGTTGATAATTGTGGAATGTTTAGCCTCTTACGGTTCTTTAGAGGCTGAAGTGCTCTGTGTCAGAATGCAGCAAAACCTGGACAAGATGCAGGTTTAAGTTGACAGTGCAAGTAACATTTACACTACACAAGTGCCGGGCAGTGACCATCTCCAGCAAGAGAGAATCCATTTCCTCTTCACATGCACTGAAATTACCATCACTGAATCCCCCATATCAACATTCTGGGGGTTACCGTTGACCAGAAACTGAAATGGACTAGCCATAGAAGTACTTTGACTACAAGAGCAAATCAGAGGCTAGGAATCCTGCATCAAGTAGTTCATCTCCTGACTCCCTGTCTATAATGTACAAAACAGGAAGGTGATAGAATACTTCCCTCTTGCCTGTATGAGTGTAAGTCTAACAACAGTCAGAAGCTTGACACCATTCAGATCATTGGCACCTTATCCAAAAACCTTCACTCCTTCCACCACCGATGCTCAGTACCAGCAGTGCGTACCATCTACAAGATGCATTACAGAAATTTACCCAGGCTCCTTAGACAGCACCTTCCAAACCTATGATCAATATCATTTAGAAGAACAAAGGTGGTAGATACATGGAAAAACCACCACTTGTAATTTCCCCTTCAAGCCACGCAGCATTCTGACCTGGAAATATGTCAGTGTTCTATCACTATTGCTGGGTCAGTGAGAATCGGTGGGGGGAAATCTGTCTGCTGGTTGAAGTCATACCTCACTCCGAGGGAGACGGTTATGGTTGTTGGAGGTTAGTCATTTCAACCTAAAACTCACTCCCTAATGGCATTGTGGGTCCACCTAATGGACTACAGCAGCTTAAGAAGGCAGCGTACCATCACCACCTCAAGAACAACTTGGGATAATCAATAAATACTTGCCCATTCAATGACATCCACGTCCACACTCCCATGAACAAATAAAATTATTGGGCAAGTTAAGATGTTGGGCATCAGAGTTTTAGATGAGTTTCACTTTATAGTCAGTCATTGGTTTTCAAGCTGTTAACTTGTTCTTTTAGTGTGTATTTCTTCACTTAGGTGCAGCTGCATCATACCAGCAAACACAACTTTGAATTTGCATTTCACCTATTACTTCATTTTGTACAATGGCTCCATTTAAAACACTTTCTGGTGTACTGAGTGTATGTATCTATTGGAGTTTAATAACATCCCCTCAAAATATCAAGACCATAAATTTGCATTAATGTAAAGCGGACTCACGTTAAATCCCATAAAATATGTAAAGAATGTAGTTTCAAGATCCTTTGGGCTGTTTGCTATTAATTCAAGTACATTAACAGTTTCTAATACCTATGCATATGGTTAACAGATTGAACACTAGCATTTATGGAAGGTCTAAATTAGGCTTATCTTTGAACTGCTTCTTGTAGCCAAGACCAAGTTAAATTAAGGATTTCGCAAGCCTACCATCACTCTGTCATTAAACAGTACAACACCACATGAAGTGTAATTACTCTAACTTGCAAATCAGACAAAAATGCATCACCTTCACATTGCTTCATATTTAATAATAATGTTAACAAATCTGAAGCTATTATACAGTTCAGGCATGGAGGATTACAGTAAGTATTTGGTCACATTATCACGTCACAATTTAAATCATAATGATATGTGGAGCAGGAGTAAATGTGTCTTTTTTCAGCGTGGAGTGCACTGGCTGGGGTGGGATACTGCAGGGATCAGTGCTTGGACCCCAGCTATTCACAACCGTATGGTAGATGAAGTTTAAAATGGATGAGTGAGGTTATTCACTTTAGTAGCAAAAAGAGGAAGGTGGATTATTACATAAAACATAGAACAGTACAGCACAGTACAGGTCCTTCGGCCTACGATGTTGTGCCGACCTATTATCCTACTCTAAGATCAAACTACCCTGCATACCCGACATCTTACTATCATCCATGTACCTATCCAAGAGTTGCTTGAATGTCCCTAATGTATCTGACTCCACTACCACCGCCGGCAGCGCATTCCACGCACCCACCACTCTCTGTGTAAAGAACCTACCTCTGACATCTCCCCTATACCTTCCTCCAATCACCTTAAAATTATGCCCCCTTGTAATATTCATTTCCGCCCTGGGAAAAAGTCTCTGGCTATCCACTTTATCTATGCCTCTCATCCTTCTTCGCTCCAATAAGTAAAGCCCTAGCTCCCTCAACCTTTCCTTATGAGACCTGCCCTCCAGTCCAGACAGCATCCTGGTAAATTTCCTCTGCACCCTCTCTAAAGCTTCCACATCCTTCCTATAATGAGGTGACCAGAACTGAACACAATATTCCAAGTGTGGTCTAACCAGGGTCTTATAGAGCTGCAGCATAACCTCGCGGCTCTTAAACTCAATTCCCCTGCCAGTGAAAGCCAACACATCATACGCTTTCTTTACAACCCTATCAACTTGGGTAGCAACTTTGAGGGATCTATGGACGTGGACCCCAAGATCCCTCTGTTCTTCCATATTGCCAAGAATCTTGCCATTAACCCTGTATTCTGAATCACTTCACACTTTTCCAGGTTGAATTCCATCTGCCACTTCTTTGACAGGATGCAGAGCTGGGCAATGTCCTGTTACAACCAACTACAGCCCTCCACACTATCCACAACTCCACCAACCTTCGTGTCATCGGCAAACTTACTAACCCACCCTTCCGCTTCCTCATCCAAGTCATTTACAAAGATCACAAAGAGCAGAGGTCTCAGAACAGACCCCTGTTCAGATCATTGTCTGAAAGGTGATAAATTGGGAAAGGTCAGAAGTTAAACGACATCAGGTTATAGTCCGACAGATTTATTTGGAATCACACAAGCTTTCGGAGCACAGCCCCTTCATCAGGTGCAGTGGGAGAGCAGGGCACACAGACACTGAGTTTATAGGCAGAGAGACCAAAAGATCATACAACTGGTGTGAGTGGAGTGTCAGATAGTAGGTCTGTGCAGGTGGCCAAGAGTGCTAGACAGTGTGTAAAGTGTTTACAAAGTCAATGTCAGTGCTGTGCTGCCATGACAAGACAATCAGGGAGAGCCATAGGAATATACAAAAGGTGACATCTCGGGTCAGATGTTGAACTGTAGGTGTGAGGTTGTTCAGAATCTGTCTCTGAGTTTTAACCTGGAATCAGGCTGGTTTTATTTATAAGATGCTGGAATTTATAAGATGCCACACTGACTGACCATGACTACAAATTGTAGAGAGAGTAATAAGTAATTCAAAACTGTACCAACTAGTTAAGATAGAGCGATCGTAACAATTTATCAAAGTGATGCTGGCAAAACAGGAAAGTAAGGAAGATTTTACAGATACAGAACAGTGTGGTGGGATCACCTGTAGCGTGACATGTCCAAAACTAGCACCTCCACATCATGGCTACCATCCCTGCCTGCTCAAAGTGGAGAGAATCTCCAAGAAGATTAAGCATATGGACACAGACATCAAGTTCTGCCGAAATGCAAGAAAACAAAAAAATCCCAAAAGGACTACAGATCACGAACCCACTTAAGTCAACTTACAACTCAGAGACTCTGCCATCGCATCTCTTGCAAACTCCTCAATCACCTTGTACACCAACTCTGTAGCAGGCGCTGCAACATTGAAATTGAGATGGAATCCATATTCTCAGCTTGCACTCAAGATACAGCAGAACAGTTATGAGATACTGCCAAGCAGACATGGCAACAGAACTACACTGCCTACATGCACACCAAGAACAAGAAACTAGAGAAACTTGGCATTACCACCAGCAATAACTGAGCCTCCCCGGGTACTACAGTTGAAAACGGTACCACCACAGGGAAACCCATTGTCAACTTACCTGACCACACCCTTCAGCCAGACGAAATTGAAGTTCTCAGCTGAGGGCTCAATTTCTGCCCCACTACCAAAATGGACCCCATTGGTCTGGCAGCAGACACCGAGGAATCCATCAGGCGAACGAGGCTCTGGCAATTCTTTCACAATATATCAGCAGCGAGCCCAATGAGACAACCAACGAACCAGAACAGTCGACAGAGAGATCCGTGGTGCAGCGACCAAAGAAGAAGGAGTCGAGCTAGACCCCTCCGGAAGGTCGCTGCCCTAGGCTTGACGTGTAAGCTCAAGCTGTCAGGAGATCCGTTAATGGCAGATTCATCAGTCGCAATCACAAGGTAGCACAGAACGTCACCCAGGCACAATGCAATGCCATCTGTGCTCTCAAGGCCAATCGCAACACTGTCATCAAACCAGCAGACAGTGGAGGAGCCATTGTGATACAAAGTAGAATGGACTACTGCAAAGAAGTATACTGACAACTGAACAACCAGAAACGCTGCAGATATGTACCTGCCAATCAGACCAAAGAACACACCCGTCAACTCAACAGACTGACCAAGACTTTTGATCCAGTCCTTCAGAGCATCCTATGCACACTCCTCTCGCGACGAAACTTCTACTCCCTTCCGAAGATACCATTTCTCTTCTGCATGCTGCCCTTGGTGACATAACCTGAAAACAGAACTTCTGGTTCTATATATTAGTTGGCAGCACCCTACTGTACCTCACCACCAACTCACTCAATCCTTCTACTATCACAGATTTGCTGGACTGCGTGTCTAACTTCCAGAACTAAGTAGAAATTTCCTCCATTTGAACATCGAGAAGAACAAAGATACTGTTTTTGGTCCCTGCCAAAAGCTATCCTGCAGCCAACAGCTTTGCCCCTGTCCCTTCAACTGTATGAGCCTGAACCAGATCATTCATAACTGGGATGTCACATTGGATTAGGAGGTGAATCACTGAACACATATTTGTGCCATTAGCAAGACCACTTATTTCTGTTTCCCTACCATTGACTGACTTCAGCCTTGCCTTGGCTCATCTGTGAAATTCTCACTCTTGCCTTTGTTACCTTGTGGTTTGACAATTCCAGTGCTTTCTTAGCCTGTCTACCAGCTTCCATCTTGCATAAGCTCGAACACATTGACAGCCCTAAAACCCATATCACACTTCCACCAAATGCTGTTCATCCATCGCTCCTGTATTTACTTTCCTCAGGCACTATCTCAATTTTAAAACGCATATTGTCTGTGACCTTGTTTCTTTTGATTTCTGTAACCTCTTCCAATTTTGCAATCCTGTGAGATGTCTGTTTTGGGCCTAGGTAATAATGGAATTCCTTCCCTAAATTTGTCCCTGATTAAACCTCTCTTTCTTCCTTTTAAGAATTTTTTGGTCATTTGTTCTGGTACCTTTTTTTATAGTTCAGTATCAACAGGTTGTGCTATTTTGCTCCTGTGAAGTACCTTGGGACATTTTACTACATTAATGACGCTTGATAAAAGCAAGTCATTATTATTAGGGCAGTTATTTGTTTGCTATGGTCCAGAGATTCAAAACAAACAAATTATGATGATATAAATAGTTAAGGGAATTGTGGACTACATTGTGTTCTTACCACACACATTAAATCTACCTGGTATAAGGCATTTTTCTATACACATTTCAATTGAGTTTGTTATCCTGCTTGCACATAATCTCTGCATTTTCACCATTTTGACTTACTGCAGACAGTAAAATCTTTAGCAGTTGAATTTTCACCTTTACAATAGGGCTTCTCTGCTGCACTTTTTGCTACTTGGTGAAGCAAAGTGCCATATGAATGCAAATTGTTGTGGACACCGATGATGCTGACCGAAGAGGAATAACTACCTGTCTTATGGAGAAGTTATTGTTTAACTAGTGTGTATCCCATATACACTGATCCCATTCCCTCAGGGTAACAAAGGAATGTGGCTTGGTACTTTAGTTTCAGACCAGAAAATAACCAGTGGCATTTCAAGTCTTGGCAGTACTCTTCATCTCTGATATTATGATGCCACATTTTTTTTTGTGCTCTACAGCTCCTCAGATGTGTGGAAAACAATTATTGTTTGAACATTGAACATGACTCCACTGATTTAATCTGTCTTTAATTTTAAGCATCTGTTTACAATATAACAATGAAATATTCCAGCTTTCTGTGTCCAGCTTTCAGAATTCAGTTTTAACATCTGCTCACTGCAGTTTAACAACATGTTGCACTGTTCTGTCCATTGCTTTAAGTATACAGTTATGTAGAAATTCGTTCTTGACGCCAGTTTCTCTTTTGCATTTGTTGTATCTTCAATTTAACATAATTACTCTAGCCTTATGCAATCCAGGTTAATCATTTTGTCTACTCATAATGCCATATTGTTCACTCTTCAGGTAATTTCTTGGGAAATGCTTCTTTATGATCGGTGTTAACTACTTATTTATTTTTAACTTTATTCCAAAATTGTCTAATACGCCTTGACAGTATTGACAAAACTGAACTTGCACTGTTTGGCTTTTGTCAGTATCGACTTGCCTCAGGCACTGACACCATGAAGATTTTGGCTGCTTGTTCAGACTGAGCTGTGTGCTGCATCATCATTGTTCCCTAACCCTAAGCTGACCTTTCCATTCCATATCCTGTCCCATAGAAATTTGATGTAATGCACAGCTCTGTTACTTCCTCATTCACTACCTTTTCTAGATTTGATCATTACTTTTACTACAGTGAATAAACCCAGGTCAAATCCCACCACGGCAGATCATAAAGTTTGAAGGTGTAGAGCTGGATGAACACAGCAGGCCCAGGGGGTTCTGAAATAAATAGGGAGAGAGGGGGAGGTGGATAGAAGAGAAGATAGGTGGAGAGGAGACAGACAGGTCAAAGAGGTGGGGATGGAGCCAGTAAAGGTGAGTGTAGGTGGGGAGGTAGGGAGGAGGTAGGTCAGTCCAGGGAGGACGGACAGGTCAAGGGGGCGGGATGAGGTTAGAAGGTAGGAGATGGGATAGGTGGGAGGAAGGACAGGTTAGGGAGGCGGGGACGAGCTGGGCTGGTTTTGGGATGCGGTAGGGGGAGGGGAAATTTTGAAGCTTGCGAAGTCCACATTGATACCATTGGGCTGCAGGGTTCCCAAGCGGAAGATGAGTTGCTGTTCCTTCATCCTTGGGGTGGCATCGTTATGGCACTGCAGGAGGCCCAGGATGGACATGTCTCCCTTCCCCTCCCCCATTTCTGAAGAAGGGTCTAGGCCCGAAACGTCGGCCTTGCTGCTCCTCTGGTGTGCTTGGCCTGCTGTGTTCATCCAGCTCTACACCTTGTTGTCTCAGATTCTCCAGCATCTGCAGTTCCTACTATCTCTGGTAAAGTTTGAATTCAGTTTTTAAAAAATCTGGAATTAAGAGTCTAGTGATCACCTTGAATCCATTGCTAGTTGTCAGAAAAGCTCATCTCATTCACTAATGTCCTTTAGGGAAGGAAACTGCTGACCTTATCTGGTCTAGACTATATGTGACTCAAGACCTCCAAATCAGTTGACTGTTAACTGCCTTTTGGGCAATAAATACTGGCCTAGCCAGTGATGCCCACGTCCTATGCATGAATTTAAAAAATGTAGTGGAGAGGTTATCAGGGTGGATTGGTGACAAGACGCAGGCTAAGCACGACTGGTGGCTGATGAGATACCTGTAAAAACTCACCAACCGCTAAGCTTTTACGCAGTGACTGATTTCGAGAGTGATTCTATGGGTTCAAGATCCTTGGCAAAACCTAATAACCTGCATTGTGGGAGTGAAGCAGCAGATTTTACTGTTTATTATTTCCTTGTGTGTTTTTAAACTTCTGCTCACCTTATTCCTTTTAGTATATGCGTTTGTTTTTGGAAACAGTATTTTCATAATGTACTTGAGACTGATAGCTTTATATTACAGTCTTATAAACAAATCACCTTGTTGAAAACGAGATGGGAGGGACACAGCTAACAAGACAAGATGCTCTTTTGAGGGTGAGCAAAAGCATCGGAAGCTTAAGGCTGCAGCTGATTATTTTCTTCCTATTATTGAGTATTTAATGGTGGCATGGAGCACCTGAACTAGGAAAGTGTTCTGTTCTTCTCTTAATGAGCAAAATAAAATTATTTTCTAACAAAAAAAGAAGTGCAGTATGTAATTATGAGAGATGCTCATGGTGTACCAGCTTTTTGTTTAAACCCAGAACCATTGGAGTTAGTGCTGATTACAGTTTTTCTCTAAACTTGCAACAGCTTTAAAGCTGTTGAAATCTATTCTGGAATGACCAGTTACACCTTATATTTTTGGTAATATTATATTTACATCTTTTAAAGAAAAAGGATAGAGAACAAGATGCAAATACTATTTCAGGATAAATTTTTCGACCTTTTTTCCAGTGAGTATAACTGGAAGCATCAATTTAAAGTTTTTAAAGTTGGGTTTTATGAGTACAGTTTTGATTACTCCCAAGGAGCAATTTCAGTATAAAAAGAACAATATTTTTCTGGGTGCTAGATCCATTGTACTATAGTGATATAGGGTTGCAAATGTCTGATCTGGTTATTCTGTTTTTTCTTTGCATGGTGCCTAGAATTACTTGAATCAAATATGAGGCTGCTTCAGGATTCAAACAATAAATTACATTTTCACATTTATTAGGGGAGTGCTGCATACTATTGCCATATGATTTAATATTGCCATATGTGAGTGTGTTACTAAAGTTAGCAGTCAGAAAGTTTGTATGAGCTGAAGGTTAAGTACAACTATCACCATCTGGCACTTAGTTTGCAACTTGATAGTGAAGTAATATTGATCATAACAGTTGTGGAATAAATGGAGCATCCCGTAGAATTTATATTGTTTTATTTGGCAATGGCAACAGTTTTGTTTTAATCGAGAGAGTGATTATTTAGTTCAAGACCTGTTATCGTTAGCTTCTTATGGAAAACTTTTTGGACCATTTTATTTTTGTGTCTTTGGTTTCCTTTGTAGCCCTTCATTTATAGTTTAAAAAAGTGTTTGCTTTTGCGCGTGTTTGATATTTTGCAGTGCTGTCCATACATGAAGACATATACTAGAAAGAATGATTGTGTGTAAAATAAACAATACAAATTCCTGTGGAACATCCATTGCATATTCAAGTTACATTCGTATATCCAACAATAAAAAGGCACTGCTAAGTCAGATAAATGTAATTGTTAAAAGAAGGCCAAAAGGAGGATTGGGTTTTTCTAACATTATAAGAATAGATGA